CGATCGTTGATCGTGAAGCAAATTCGTATCTTTGATACCTAGGGTTGAATAAAGGCGACGAATGTCCATTTTCTATATAAAACAGTTAAAAACTGTTTTACATATTACTAGAATGCAGTTCGAATAGTGCTCAGAATTAGAATAATGCACTTGGGAAATGCCTTATCTAAAATAATGCAGTTAAAAAATGTCTTATTTACTATCATGCAGTTTAGTAAACACATTTATAATCTTTTTATTTATCGACCGTATTTACTACGTCTACAATGCAGATTAAAAGGGCCTGAATTTACCATGTTGTTAAAAACTGACTAGATTTCCTGTAATGTAGTTAGCAACAGTCAAAGTTTGGCAAACTCATACATTTTCTGTTTGAATTTGATTGTGTAGGCAGTTCATACACGATCGTTGATCGTGAAGCAAATTCGTATCTTTGATACCTAGGGTTGAATAAAGGCGACGAATGTCCTCGTTCGACACATGATAATGATTGTGACGCGTGCTAGATTAGGTTCAGCATCATTAGGAGTAGTTGTCGGATGGAAGGAGTCGGACAGACGGTCGAAGTAAACGCCGAGTAACCAATCTCTTCCTCGAACCTCACACTGCACTCGTACTTTTCTAGCCGGAGGATTGGTCTAAGGCAAGTATAAAAGTGAGTAAAACTCTACTTATCCCTCACGCACGTCTCATCAAAAGCGAGTGCTCGGGTGCGTCGCGGATAATGTACATCGGTGTGACGCAAATCTTCGACTGCGACAATCCTATCTTGCTAGAAAAAGTAACGTGCCACTATCAGATTGTAAAAGAGAGGTTGCAATTCTTGTACCACATTCAGTTGCGAACCCACATTTGGGTCAATAATACAATGAATTAGCATTGAATAAAGTAAATTCATGAAACTTGTACTTCACCTAATCGACATTCCTTCGAACTCAAATCCGTAGGCAAGTCGTCGATCTCTGCCCAAGGTGAAGATAGCCGTTTCATACGTTGCTGTAAATCAGTGGTTCCAAAAGTGGGCGATATCGCCCCCCTAGGGGCGATGGAAATATTTTGGGGAAGGGCGATAGGGGGGCAGTAGGGGGGCGGCAGTCTGAAGTCAGAAGTTTCAACGTTCGTTTGACGATTTGTACAAAACACTTGCGCATTATCGATGCGCAATGGTTTTTTCACCCAGATTTGTTTTTTAAACTTCACCTGGTTTTACGTCTCGGACAAATTTACGGTCGGACACGGGGCCGGTCTCACGTCCAATTTCTAAATTCAACGATCAAGGAATATCTCTCAAACTAAGGAACTTAACTCGATGAAACTTGGTACACGTATTCATTAGGACCTAACGATAAGGTTTTGCTCGTGAAAATTGTTTGAATTTTGCCATCGTTTGTTTATGCCATTGTCAAATGGCAATACGGGCCGAATTTCAAAGTGATCGAGGAATTTCTTCCTATCTACTGAACATATTCGAACGAAATTTTGAATTTACAATCTTAACTACCCAACAGTAATGTTTAGCTGGTGAAAATTTGTTCGATTGTGCCTTCGTTCGCGAGTTTTTTTTTTTATTTCACCTTCATTCGTGATTTAAACAGCAATACGTGCTTAAATTCGCAGTTATGTAGGGTTTTATTCCCTGCGCTGGAGGTAATCCTCTTCTAGAAATGATTTCTAAAGTTAAGCGCTAAGCAGGATAGAAATAAGTGATCATCAATCAAGGCATTTTAATAAGAATTTATTCCAAGCTTCTTATTCGGGGCAGTTTCTTCATATTCAAGGTAGTTTAAATCCATTTAGAAAGCTGCGCCCAGGTTTAGTTGAATTTGGCAGAAAGGCAGCAGATGTTGACGATTACTCGAGATACTGGTTAAACAAACGCATCATTACAATAGAGTCTATAAGCTAGTAAATAGTAATATTTCAGATATTTCAGAAGTATTTCAGAAGTTCATGCTAATGAAAGCATATGGCTCACCTTAATCAATTAAGATTAAGTGCACATATTGCGTCGTGCTTTTAAATGTAGAAATCGATTTAAGTAATGATTGATGATTTAATTTAACGCGCGGCAGTTCCGAACATAAATATAGGTCACCTTAGTATAGAGAATGACCACCTTGGCCAGTCAAGGTAATAATTTTAAGGTTTAAAGTTGAGAGGTTAACAGTTAAAGTTTATAGGTTTTAAGGTTTCAAGTCAAATAGGCAATTTGACGAGCTGGCCAAAGTGTCAAAAGAAGTGAAAAAACGCATGCACCCAAAAGTGAAATTTGAACAAATCAAAGGTTGTGCACAACAAATTAACACCATTCATTTAGAGAATTAAGGAAACTAAGCACGTAGAGGAACTGAACACGACCGCTCAGTTAGAGTTTACAGATTTAAGCCTTCTACGAGAGCAGCGGCTCAGCTTTATATGGACTGAGCACGTTCTGCTTCTTCGCCGTAGTCTTTCTATAAGCCCGGATCGGAAATTTCCCGAACAGTAATTAAGAAAATTCTTCCAAACTACTGAACAGATTTGAAAGAAACTTAGTATTTAAATACCTAACCTCAGCAACAGTGATGTTTAGATCGTTACAATTTTTTCAATTTTGCCTTATAACAACAGGGAAAAGAATGCCTGTATAAAGAAAGTGCTTGATGAATACAGCCATGAGATGATACTAGTTATGGGGGACATGAATGGACATGTTGGTGTACTAGGAGAGCCTGTGAACAAAAATGGGGAGCTTCTGAATGAGTTTGTGTTTGAAAATGGACTTGAAAACCTGAATGTTACTATGGCTGAGGGGAAGGTAACCTGGAGCAATAAAGAAAATTGTTCAGCAATCGATTATATTTTGGTGAATGCGAAGGCAAGAAGAAAAGTGATGTGCATGTGGGTGGATGAAGCTGGTGTGTTTGATATCAGAAGTGATCATAATATGCTTCTTACCGAGTTAAAAATGCATGATACGCATTTGAGAGAGCTGGACAAAAAATGTAAATGGCGAGTGAAAGGTGTGGACTGGGATAACTTTAGTGCGAAACTTACTGATACAGAATGGGAAGTGACAAGTGATGTGAATGGTATGAATGAACAACTCAAGAAATGTATGAACGAGGCTGCAAGGGCCGCATGTGCAAGGACAACTAAGAATAAACGCAAAAGCCGAAGAATTAATGAAGTCTGGTGGAGTAGTGATGTGAGAGTGGCAAGAAGTGAACGAAAGAGATGTAATCGAGTCTGTAGGCAACTTCGGAAAAAGAGGCATGAAAGTGAGGATTGTGAGCAGGAATATCAGGAAGCATGGCAGAGGTATGAAGAACAACAGAGAAGAACCAAAACTATCATTAGAAACCATATTGTTGAGTATGAGCGAAACAGAATAAATGAATTCGTTATGAAGGGAGAGNGATGGAATGTGGGGCGTATGAGAGAGAGCGTCAGTCTATGATTGAAGTGATTCTGAATGAGAGAGGTGAGACTAACGAGGTGGGGCATGAGAGAACAAGCGAAGAGTGGATGGCGATAATTACGGGTCTGTCTGAGGGAGCAACTGCGGCTATGTTTGAGAGTGTGAAGAGATATTTGGAAAACGTGTGGATGATGAGGGAGAGGAGGAGGATGTTGTAAGTGGGGTCTTGAGGAATGGAGGGTTGAGAGAGGGGAGGGTGGGAAGACGTGTGAACGTGCCGAATTGTTTTAGTACGTGGTTTTAATTTTTTTGCGATTGTCAAATTTTTATATTTTTTCTTAGGACAGCTGTGAATATGGTATATTTGAACTTTTTTGTTAACATAAGAGTGTGAACTTTTAATTTTTTGATGCTAGTAAAAGTTTTTTTAGGCAGCGTGTATGACCGATTTAAAGGTCGTGACCGTAGGTCACCAAGCACCCCAATTCCAATTCCTTCGTTTGCGAGTTATACGGCTATATGTAAACAGCTCTTGGTTAAAACGGCCGGTAGAAAAGCCGGTCGTTTCTTCTATACCTGTATAACTCGCGAACGAAAGCAAAATAGAAAAATTGTGACGAGCTAAACATCGCCGTTGGGATGTTAGGTATTTATATACAAAGTTTCGTTGAAATCTGTTCGGTAGTTTAGAAGAAATTTTTTTGATCACCGCGAATTTAAGCGACAAATTACCCAGCGATACGGGATGAATATAAGGAAGTGTGAAATCATGTATGGCGGTGAAATGAAAAAAATCGCAAACGAAGTTAAATAAAAAAATTTTTAAATCTAAAAAATCACCGTTTGGTAGTTAGGAATGTATATTCAAAATTTCGTTCAAATCTGTTTCGTAATTTGGAAGAAATTCTTTAATCACTAGCTGCGAATTCCGGCCTGTATTGCAATAGTATAACTCACGAATGGAGGTGAAATAAAAAAAAAATTCACGTGCTAAACATCACCGTTAGGTTCTGATGAATACGTGTTCCAAGTTTCATAGAGCTGCGTTCATTAGTTTGGGAGATATTACTTGATAATTGTATTTGGAGATTGGTCGTGAGACCGGCCACGAGTCCGGCCGTAAATTTGCCCGAGACGTCCTAGATTTCTAGTGCTGAAACAGTTAAATGAGCTGAAAAACATATTGGTTCACTAAATGGGGTTCTATTTGTGAAATACACATTTGTGTTTAACCTTTATCTTTTAAAATTGCAGCGTACTAAATTTCAAGAGAGAGGGGTATGTTTTATATTTATCTGTGGGGGGTGCCAAAGGGGGCGCCAGCCTGAAAAAGTTTGGGAACCACTGCTGTAAATTGACCTATTATAGCTCATACGTCGAGCTAAATAAACTTCCACCGCTCAAGTAATTGTATATTCTATGTTACTTTTACTCAAATAGACCTCAAGCTCGGTATGTCTGACGTGGTTATCCTTCGAAATTTTCGACTATGCCAATGAGTGAATAATGCCACACTAGCCGTCACGGCTGCCTTCAGCTGTACCATCACAGCCAGTGCTTCCTATTGACACTTGAAGCTGCAAGGACTGAATTAATTTCGCACGAATGATATATTTTATTAAAAAAAACTTTACTGAATAACAGCACAATGATGGAGCCATGACTCGAGAAACTATGGATGACGATAGGCATTCACGAAGCCTAATGATGTCGTCTTGCTTACGACTAAATACTCCCAATATGAAACTCAATAGCGTCATATTTTGTAGTGTGTTGAAAGCATGCAGTCATGCTTAACTGAGAAGGCTATAATTGTTGCCATATTCCTTCCCGCATCGAAGATATCGCCCTATGTCTCTTGGAAAATTCACAACCAAATATTCTATGAGTGTGGCAGACGCAATCACTTCAGCTAATCCAGAAATTGTGCACTCAAAATAGGTAGATGCATATTAATTCAACATGCTTAACAATTTTCGGTAAACTCAAAAAAATTCTAGACGAACTTAAGCCCTGAAAAATAAAAAAACAAACAAGGGCTTGCAACTTCAGTGCCTCACGATAAACAACGCCACGGGTACAATAGAAAGGCAAGAAGTCTTACTAAACAAATTCTGGAAGCCATAACGTCAATCAGTGACTGACTGGATCCCTTACGGCCAGGAATTAATTACTTGCGAATAAAAAAACCGTGAAATTTCAGAAGGAGTATGAAAGCTTGGCACGTCCACATAGAGAACTTCTCTCGCCCATACAGACGAGTCACTATCATTTTTTTGAGCGAAGTGCCTGACTCTAAAATCATTCCGACATCATCGCAAGATAGCGAGTGAGCATCATATCATCTGCATCACTTGGATGAATGATACCGTCATTTCCTATTCAACCATAACAATGAAATATAATCTTATGTCAGAAAAACTGCAGAGTCACGTCAAGCGGAATGGTTTGGCGCGAAAGTAAAGGTTTTCTCCAGACCTTACTTACTTCAAGAACTCGCTATAAGAAGAGATTTAATAAACCATGCAAACTATGTATGGATAAGTCCTCGCGACAAAATTCGAAATGAATTATTTATGATTATAGCAAATCACTATCTTCAGCGAACCTGACTGCTAAAGTATGAAATTTTTTCTTTGTAAAATATAAGATACTACCAATCTACGTCCAATACTTTCCAACATCTGGAGTTTTATTCTTTATTAATTAAAAAACGCAACCGAAACCTAATTTGTTACATTCTGTAACAGAAGTGCGTATTCTGCACAATGTACACCATCTGTCATCATTAATATGCACATCTACCCAGGCGTGGGCGCCTGTCCGGGGGGCTCATTTAATGTGCTGAAGTTACCTTCACTCCTCTAACGAAGTACTAATGCTCAGACAAGCTACAAATATTGTACACAAGTTTACCACGACTCTCACATCAACATCGACGACTCCAGTAAATCATTTTATAACCTATTTTCATTTATTTCTATTCATTCGTAAAGCCGATTGTGTCTCTAATCCACTGCTCGTAAGCCTCGACCCTCGTATAGACGCCGGGCACGCTGCGCTCCCCGCACCCGATGCCGAAACTGACCACGCCGACCTGGTACCACTGGCCGGCCTTCTCGCACACCAGCGGCCCGCCGCCGTCACCCTGCACAGTGTAGAGAGTAAACATTTATCTAATTATATTAATTACCTAGTAATATCGAACACAATTAATTACCTAGTACTATCAAACATTCTTAATTACCTAGTAATATCGAACACAATTAATTACCTAGTACTATCAAACATTCGTAATTACCTAGTAATATCGAACACTATTAATTACCTAGTTATATCAAACACTATTAATGACCTAGTAATATCGAACACTACTAATTACCTAGTAATAGCAAACACTATTAATTACCTAGTAATATCGAACACTATTAATGACCTAGTAATATCGAACACTATTAATTACCTAGTTATATCAAACACTATTAATTACCTAGTAATATCAAACACTTTTAATTACCTAGTAATATCAAACACATTTGTCGTAAATTCTATGCAACTTTTCGCAACCTTGTAGTTTATTAAACATATGTGTTAAACTATTCAGTATCCGATATCAAATCAGCAACATGATGTATTTACATATTACATATTTTACGCCGAGTTACATTTTGTACAATTAGTAGGTAAGAGAGATACATGAATAAGATTTTGATTTTCATATTTTCAAGCTAAACCGTGATTATTGACTGTTGGTGTAACCATAATATTCGTTGAAACGTTTTGTGATGAGAAACGGATTTTTTCGACTTCATGGCAAATAAAAGAGTTCCTATTTATTTGCGATTGCCTTTAATGGTGTAAGAGGGCGCCACCATAGACAAATGCACTCGTAAGCGTCAGCGAGTTCAATAGAAGTGGAGAATTTTCTTATTCAAACGGCCATGACAGCCCAAAAAGCCTTACAGTTATGAGTGTAGAATGAACCACCAGGTGCTGAATTTTTTTATGTTTCAAGAGTCAAGATCCGATGTTTCGTTTGATCTCAATATGGTAAGGCCAGCCTCTGGGACTTCCGGCAATTAATTGAAAATGTAACTAATTGTCTGTAAAAGCGAGGAGAGTCTTCTCAATGCATGTTTCTTTAACTTAATTTTTTACTTAAAAAACTGATATAATTACGTCAATTAGAAACCCCCGAGTGAAAATTAGAGACATTTTAACGCCAACTTAGAAGTACAAGTGTAATTTGGCAACATGTTGATAGATTATGCATAGATGGAAGGCACGAAGAGCGAACCTTCAACTTACGACTGGATGTAAATGCCATCAAGGCCAGAACAGGGTAGGGTTTGGATCACATAATTTTGAGTAGTTAGTAGCACTTAAATTCAATTTATGACTCGCGAAATTTACGTAACCAGCGTCATATATTTTACATGCGTAATTGCCGTTACTTACGTCACAGGCGTCGCGGCCCTCAGCGCCGGCACAGATGGCTGTAGGAGGCAGGACGTATGCAGGACCAAACTGCTGACGCAGAGCTGTCTGGCAGTGGTCGTTGTTCCATAGTGGCACGCTGATCTCCTTCAGCACCACGCTGTGACTCGATGCTGCACACAAAACGCGCCATTCAGAATTTATTCTTAATTAAATTCAAGGAAAAGGCCTCCAATATACACTCTGATGGCCGGACCGACCCACTTGATTTGAGGTTGCTCTATATCACGTGGAACAACAAAACAAATTTGAAATGATAGCCTTATAACTCAGATAGTTCGCGAATGCTCCTGCACTAACGAAAATTTACTGTATGTAATGCATCAAAATTCGTCCACTGTAGCCCGGCTTCACGTGCATTAAAAAAATATAGACTACATGCAAAGTATTCCTATCGCCACAACGCATGTCCTGATCAGATACCAACCTTCATCTTTCCTGCCCCAGCCCGTAACGTAACACTTGGCTTTACTGCCTTCCTTGAAGTCGTTCTTAGATGGCGTGCAAACAGAGTCGACGTTGGGCCGTCTTCTGACGGACGTCGCGAGCTTCAGGAGCGCGATGTCGTTCACCAGCGTCGCGTTGTCGAACTGAACACAAGCGATCAGGATTAGGCACTTCTAGCTGGAGTTCTGGGCACCAACATTAAGAAGAGAATGCCAAGATTTCCATGCCAGATCCAAGCAGGGTAAAAAGAATTCCAGATTTTCAAAACGAGTTGATTGAATTTAAGCAGAACATTTTGAAACTTTAATGGGCATAATGTAATTTGAATAGAAAAATGGAATGGGAATGAGTGTTTACATGGAATGAGTGTTTACAGGGAATAAGTGTTTACAGGGAATGAGTGTTTACAGGGAATGAGTGTTTACAGGGAATGAGTACAATTTGAACAGGTCAGGCAAAAAGAATTTACCTCTACGAGCAAAAAAGACTGTTAGTAACTCATACAAGCGCTGCGTTTGTTAAGACCAAATAAGGGTAAGTTCAACTCAATAAATCCTCAGTGTTATTACTAGCAGCACAAAAACTTAAGAATACAAAGTAATGATGCATTCGATGATTAATCATTTGATGAGGAACCGCGTTCCTGAAATCAGTTTAAAATTTGTTATGAAACGTTGCTCCCATCTAACTGATCCAACATGAAAAATTATTTTCGAGACCTTCTACTACGACACAAGTGCGTATCATCTTATAGATGGGCCATCACGTACAATTAGAGGGCTAGATTGCGTACAGTTGAATTTTTAAAAGTCTGGCAAGCTCACCCGCGGCTGAAAAAAGAATTCAATATTCCTCTTAACGTAAATGAGCGATATTTCAATTTCTAAAATCGACCCTAGTTGATAGATTGATGAAAGGAAATGAAGAAAAGCTAACAGGTGATAAATAATCAGCTGCATGTTTGAATGGAGAACTGAAGGTGGGATGAGAAGACGAACACTCACCTCGGGGTGCAAGACGAGCTTCCTGACGAAGTGCTCCTCGTGTCGCAGGGGCTCAGCGGTCGTGCTCACGTCGTACTCCCCCAGCCGCACCTTCAGCAGCGGCTCCCCCTCCGCCACGTACGGCACGCTGCCCAATAAATCTCGTTATTACACGCTAATATCGCGACTCACTAGAACAATAATTAACACCACCACCCACTGGCCACCACCACTCACTGACCACCGCCACTCACTGGCCACCACCACTCACTGGCCACCACCACCCACTGGCCAGGCCACCACCACTCACTGGCCCCCACCACTCACTGGCCCCCACCACTCACTAGACACAACCAAACTGCAACCACCACCACCCACAGGCCACCACCACCTACTGGCCACCACCACCCACTGGCCACCACCACTCACAGGCCACCATCACCCACTGGCCACCACCACTCACAGGCCACCACCACTCACAGGCCACCACCACCCACTGGCCACCACCACCCACAGGCCACCACCACTCACTGGCCACCACCACTCACAGGCCACCACCACCCACAGGCCTCCACCACCCACAGGCCACCACCACTCACTGGCCACCACCACCCACAGGCCACCACCACCCACAGGCCACCACCACTCACTAGTCGTCCACGCAGTGAGCGGCAGTAAGCAGCCAAGTCTCGTGCACCAGCGACGCCCCACACACGTACAGGTCCTGCCTGCTCTCCAGCACCGCCGCCTGCCGGAGTTCGGGTTTGGTGTTACGTTAGGTTAGGTTAGGGTGTTACGTTAGGTTAGGTTAGGGTGTTACGTTAGGTTAGGTTAGGTTAGGGTGTTACGTTAGGTTAGGTTAGGTTACGTGTACAACATTAGCTTTAAAGCGGACTGCTCCTACTTGCCTCAGGTAGAAGATGGGCTACATTATCATTGGGAAAATACAGAGCAAGTCAGCTAAATGTGATGCAACGCCGTAACATTCACAGTTTACTGCTTGTATTACAGCAACGCCGTAACATTCACAGTTTACTGCTTGTATTACAGCAACGCCGTAACATTCAGTTTACTGCTTGTATTACAGACTCCAACTTACATGCCAGGGCCATTCAAACATCTCTGCCTGCCCCTCCTTGTGCCCGCTGCTGCCCTTCCTGCCGCAGGATTTGACTTTCTGCACCTTGGGCAGGAGGCCGACGGGCTTCGCGTTGTAGGGCACGAAACAACACACGCTCGACTCACTTAGTCCGCAGTAGCTGTTGATTGTGCCTCCTCTGCACGAACAAAATAAATACATTAAACTTATAAAACCTTGATAACATATATATTTTCCGACATGTTAAACTGAAACAAATGTGGGGATATTTGTAGCAAATCTAGGACACACAAAAACCTGTGCAGTATATGTGAACACCACAACACAAGTGGTACCTGGTGATGCAGTACAATACAAGTGGTACCTGGTGATGCAGCACAACACAAGTGGTACCTGGTGATGCAGTACAACACAAGTGATACCTGGTGATGCAGTACAACACAAGTGATACCTGGTGATGCAGTACAACAAAAGTGGCACCTGGTGATGCAGTACAACACAAGTGGTACCTGGTGATGCAGTACAATACAAGTGGTACCTGGTGATGCAGTACAACACAAGTGGTACCTGGTGAACCTGGTGATGCAGTACAACACAAGTGGCACCTGGTGATGCAGTACAACACAAGTGGTACCTGGTGATGCAGTACAACACAAGTGGTACCTGGTGATGCAGGTCCAGTAGCCCATGCAGTGGCACCCGAACTCGTTCTGGGAGACGTCCTGGGCGGCGCACGAAGCGACCAAGCAAGATAGCAGCAGCGCCCAACCCATCTTTGTCGTTCGCTCTCCCACTCTCGCTTCACCGCGGGAGCTCTTCTGAAAAAAAAAAATATATATATGTCCACAATTGTAGAACGAACATTTTTTGAAGTAATAAGATTCAACAAAATGATGAAATTTGATAAAAAAAATGTACACTTTCTAACGCAGTTTCCCAGCCGTCGCTTCAAATGCATTTGAAGCTCGTTTTATGTTAGCCATCTAGGCAGGGATACTTCAGAGCCCGTTCGATCGACTCGTGTGGTGTTCAGCATCTATGGAAAATAAGCACTTAAGTATGATATTTCAGTCAGCAAAGAAAATCATTCAAAATCCATCAAATTTTATGCTTGCATCTTTCTTTGTTAAAACAATTAAAGGACGAATCGTGTGGGAAGTTTGTTAAAACGACCCAACGAATTATCATCACATTTACGAGGAGTGCTGCGCATAGGCGCACAGGAGCGAGCGGCGTTCCCGGCCCTCACCAAAAGTTGAAAATTCGACACAACATCTGAATTTGTAAGGCATTGCATCGGCAAAGCTGCGAGTTAAGATGCTCTTCTCCTTCAGTGTGGCCTTTGCAAATCGCCAGTCAGAGGATAGCCGAGACAACAAGTTTTTTAAGAATTAACCTGTTGTACAGACAGTGGTCCTTAAAATGCATGAGATGTCGCAGGTCGGAAGTTTGCAAGTATTCTTCATGGCTGTTCATTACAACAAATTATACAGCGCATACTATAGTATATTAAACATTTTGTAACCCCTATTAAGCCATATATTAATTCCATCTTGAAGCTGTAACGAGTTGAGAATCTATTATGTCACCAGCATGTCACTGTTATATCGTGACAGATTTTGTAAGTGAAATACATTCTGCACCATTTTACTACAAACAATAAAATAATAAGACCAAAATACACATGGAAAACAATGAATGTTTTCCATGGAATGTTTGTTTGGAAAATGAAGTTAACATTGAATTCTTCTAAAAATATTTAAGAGGCCTTGAGATAATATGATGCCGACAATCGTCTTTTGTTCGTGGCACTTCAACTACAAAATATCTTCCCTTAGTTGAAAATAAAGTTTGTATTTTACAAGGAATTCGAAGAAGGAGCATTACTGTCAATTGATTGCGGCGACTACCCAAACGGAGCGCCCATTGTTCGGGAGTTTGCGGAAGACAAGCCAGTCTCGACGACTTCAATCTTTATCAGTTATTTTACGGGGATATTTAAAGATTGGTGACTTTCCTGAAGTTCAAACTGAAACAAAGAATGAGTTCAATTTCAACATTCTTTCTAAATGTCCCGCAAATAAACGTAGAATTTATCATAAAGTTGAACGTTCCATAGAATCTAAACAAGAAGCTCTGTTTAGATATAGCAATGACGTTAAAAAATTCAAAACACATCACACCGAAACATGCACACTTTGCCCCTCCTAAAGGGTTTTCTCGATACATCACATGTAGCAGACAAGGGTTTTTTCTAGTCTGGAGAGTTTGCCTATAAATCTATGACAGATGACCGGATAAGTGTTATATTAATATCAAATCGCAGACATACAAAAATACTTTAACAGCATTTTAAAAAATAATTAAAGTTCACGTTGTGCCACAAATAATATTTCACACTCGATCTACCTTTACTAAACCGACAGGTTATTTATCCTATACAACAGCCGCGACAGCGAAAGTCGGTTCTCATATTCGTCTTCGGTCACGACTGCAACCTACGACATGACAGTGTTACTTTATGGCAATGGACCAGCGATGTTAATTAAGGCAGTGATAGTGCCAGCTCAAGTAGAAAAAATCCGTTCCTAATTATACACAGATGTGCATAATGATACACACATTAGTATTAGATGACAGAATTTACTACAGAAGAAAGAATTTCTTCTTCTAACTTGAAAATGAATGTTTGTTGCATTCGATACGTCGTTAATAAACAAAAACTACTTCCTGAAATTTGCCTTTTAATCTACCGTCATCTGAAGAAAAGTTCCTCTCGCTGATAATATGAATCAACGAATTCTCTGGTCATTAATCGGTATATAAACATGTATGATGCACACATTATACACAGAACTTCTTCACGCGTGATACTTTTATTTGAATGCAAAGTATTTTTAAAATGCAAATTGCATAAAGTAAGGCGAGTTTGCTTGCTTTTCTGAGCTTCCATGTCTCAAGTGTGTAGCACATGCAGAGCAAACGGCGCCAAGTTAGTTAACACTCCTCACACTCGAACTGTAATCACTACAGTGACCAAACCTAGCTAGGTAATCCAAAGCAATAATGATACTGAATATAACTCATAAGGTGATATGTTCAATTACCTTCATGAACGCTTGGTCGTGGTTTAACGAATTCAGCAAATCATTTATTTATAGAAAGCATGGCTCGTCGATATAATTTCACCAAAAAGTACCCTAGAATTTGTCGCCTGTTATGCGTGAACGCGACATGCACTTCATTAGCTTTCCCTTTCTTCGAGAGAGCACACGGCGCCTGGGATGGACAACACGGACCATATGTTGCCGGAATAACCGATGCTGACTCGCTATCTGATTGAAGAGGGAAAACGATGATCAATAAAACCCGGTTTTCAAACAAGGAAAGCGCACCTCGACTTTCTGGGATTGGTGCGACATGTGCATTGTGCAGTTGTACACGTGAGAAAGCAACGCAACCCTTGTGAACATCGTCAATCGGGTATTCTATAATTCAGAAGTCGGCCATTGTCCAACAAAATACGGGAATCCTGAATTTAAACTAGGTTATCATTCATACTTACAAACACATTGATACGCTTGTATTTTATGTTATATGTCGCACAAATGAAAGCCCACAGCACTGACAGCAACAATGGTGGTGTAGCGTTTGCTATTGCGTTTCCTAATTTTTGGTTCACTTTAGAACAAAGTTCGCAAACGGATAGCAAACAATAGATTTCCGATATCTATTAATTAACTGTAAAATGCTATTTGATTACAATCCCTCGATGAGAGTTTTGCTTTGGATGATCGTCCGAAAATCCCATCCTGGACAAAGAGGAGTAAAGCGCAGAGTAGCCTTTTAGAACTAGAAAAGGTTTCGATTTCGTTACAGATCAGATGTATAGAACTTTCACCTCAATTATTCATGTTTTTACGATATCATTAAATCTGAAATAATTAATTTGGTGATAGGATGTAATTTTATGTTATTTAGAAGGTCAGAGTCAAATTGAATGACAGGGTGCGGCCGATGTGCGCTTGGCAGCCCGGGAGGCTAATTGTTCGGTGGTCGCTGAACTACAAATGTGAATGTGTGCAGCATTGGAGCTAATAGGGATAATAAGCTCCTAAATGCCAGCTGCTCTTGGCTTGCGAGGAATAATTGCATATACGAATAAATATACAATTATAATATATAATGCAAATGAAGGCGGACTTAATTCCTCGCCGAGGTGGCGTAGATCGAATGTTCACGCAATCGCCGCAGGCTAGAACAACGTTCAAGGATGCGGCTATACCCAATTGAGCGATGGAGACGTCATTAACGAGCAATTGAAATCTGAATAATAGATAATCAGCGGTAGTCGAACAGCCGGTGAAAAGGTAATCAAAGATACATTAATTAAAAGTGATCCAGAATAGCGAGACTACATTTCCTCTTAAAATAAAGTTCAAAGCTTACGGGAGGGCCACTGCACTCTCACCTCAATAGCTCGCTCAGCAGGAGGGGAATATTTCTTCATTTGCTTTTTAATTTGCACATCGTACACAACACAACCCGAACGTACACAACACATCAACATCGTACACAACAACCCGATAGTTAAATAGTCGAACTACCGTACTAGATGCCTCTACACTAAAACGTACATTTACTTCACTTATGAAGAGACCTGCTATGTTGTTGTGTTAGCTCAAATTGAAGTGAGCCGAGGGAAACGTACACCCTATACACAGTTGCTAAATTTCTGAAGAGATTGAGGGGCAGCCGCCACCTTCTTGAGCCGTTATCTGCATGGCTGAGCGATTTGAACACCAAATGCAATGCTATTCTGCTGGGCACGCAAGCGACCTCGACATGTTATGAGTGAGCAACGTCACAAAAAGCAGCGTCCCGTTAAGTGCGCGCTTCGTTTTAATTGAGTTAATAAACCCTTAATCGCTCAATTTGACTCTTGCACATTAGCAGGAATAATCCTTAATACGAAATTAAGTTATAGTGAAATAAGACATAATAAATGATCAGCTGCTGATATTTCAGTCGCTGTGTCTTTATTGAACTCTGCAACGAAGTGGGCGACATCACGCGTGGAAGCAACTCTAGTGCAGGGAACACTTGCAAGAAGCGATATATCTGAACAAACAGGCCACCGACCAGCAAGCTATCCCATTACTGTGAATTATCATATATTACGGTAAGAATATTGTTTGCATGCAAATTAATGTGCGAGTTGGATAACACATTTAAATAATATAATTTTCAAGCTATCTTCAGGTGAATCTTTGGGCAGGTAGAACGAAGTGGTTAATAATTAACTCTAGGAATGACAGCATTTAGCAAAATCGCAATTTAGGCGCTGTAAACATCCGTATTTAATTAAATGAAAGTCATCATGTGCGGGCAGCTACGCACCGCTGCTGTCACTTGGCACGACGTCAGCAAGACCGCCTCATAGTGTACATTTAATAGTAGATAACGTTAGGGTCAACGTAATGACATCAGCTACATAACATAAGCCTTTAACCTGTCCCGTTCATGCTGTAGCAAGAAATCAAGAATGCATGTAGTGACCAGGCAATACTGAAGGCCTAACGCGCCATGCATATGTACGCAGAGCAACTTTTACGATGGTTGATAAATGGCTTAAGCATGAAATAAAAGGCAGGGAAGTTTTTCCTTGTTTGTAAAAATGCTGCATTCTTGACACGATGTTACACTCATGGCTCGATCTTACTCTCTTGACCACTATATTCCCTCTTGATTGCCATTGCCTAGCCATGCAAGACTAGCAGGCAAGCATGGAAACCGTTCAACAACGTCATAACCTGAA